TCATGCCTACATTCATTCCAAATGACTTCAGGTGCCCACCTGAGGCATCTGGGCTGGAAGCAGAGTCTCTGTCATTCCCCTCACAACCACAAGCCTTTGCAGGGAGAAGTCAACCTATCCAATACTGGAGCAGCACCCTAGAGGCACCCCATCTCTCCACTGACTACAGAGGTGGCCTACAGAGACAATCCTGGTGGTGGCACCATCCCCAAGTGACTAATCCTACAGGGCATGAATCCAGGGGTTCAACTCGGTTGCTCCCACACAAACATCAGACACCATGTGAAATGCTGTTGATACACCTCCTGAGCTCCAGCTGCTCCAAAAGGTTTTCCTATGGTTCTTGTATCATCCACATGCTCTGCCAGGGTCCCTTGGGCACCTGAGGACAATCTGGATGCCACTGAATATTTTTATATAGGCAGCTGAACCGGAGTCCTGGATGTCAGAGGAGATCTGAGTGACCCAGGCACTGACAGCAGGATCCAGCTTACAGGGCAAGTCACCTGAGGGCACATGTAGTGGGTGGGCACCAAGGCTACCATCATAGCCAAGAGCCAGTCAGTGTCTGCCAGAGAGCATCTGCAGAGCAAAGTAGCTGTCCTGTTCTAGGACTCCTCTGGAGCCCACTGGCTGTACAGATGGAGTAGGATTCAGTGGCCTGACCACAGGCACAGAGGGTAGCCAAGCCACACGTGCATGGCTGGCTGGGGAGACAGGGCTTACAAGAGACCACACTTCTTCAGTGATATCTGCAGGTCAGGAGTAACACTCCACAGCACCCAGCACAACACTAGGTACACATATTCTGATGACTGACTTCCTGCTTAGATTTCCATTGACTGAAAAGAGGGTTCAGATCATATCTTACATACTGGCATTAAACTGAGGCTTGCTAATCTGTAAGATGAATCCCACTCAGAAGGTGAAATTTAACCAAAATTTAGACAGAATTCAAAAGCACCCCTGTTTCTTTGCTCCACTAAGTTAAACACAAACCCTGAACCCCTATGACACTTTGATTAACACTCTGGTAGCCTGAAGTCACTGTACCTGGCTGGGTCACCTTCTTTTTAGTAGGGTCTGTTGTGATAGGACAAGTGGTAACAGTATTAAACTAAAAGAGGGGAAATTTAGACTAGATACAAGGAAGTAAATTTCACAGTGAGGGTGGTGAGGCACTGGCCCAGGTTTCCCACAGAGGTGGTAGAAGCTCCATCCCTGGAAACATTCCAGATCAGGTTGGGAAGGGCTCTGAGCAACCTGCTCTAGTTGCAGATGTCACCCTGGGATAAGAATCCACAAACAGTAAGAGCAAATTTACATCAACTGGTAGTTAGCCTTCTCATAAAGGCTGGTCTCAAGTTGAAGTTCTGCTCACAGGCCAGTAAACAGCAATCACTACTCAAAAGATACATCAGAAAAGCTTTTCAGAGTAAATGCTATCTGTATTTTGATAGAAACTGCAGTTCCCATTCCTTCTGTATGCTTCATTCACTGGAAGTGCATTTACCTTTCCCCATAAGAATTTTGCTGGCAGCAGTGTCTGGTTAAAAAGTTTGCTGGTTGCTTTGGCAGGAACTCCAGTATAAATTTCAGTGAATGCTAGATGACTAGATATCAGGCACGCCTGGGGGGTCTGAACTTCAACAAAAACAGGAAGATGACTGGAAATAAACACACAGATGGTCTATTGTTATGGTTAATGAAATGTGCTCCACATACAACAGCATGCTGGAAAGAATGGTGCTTATGTTTATTTAGCAATATTAGCAATTGGATGGTCCACTGACAGGTTACACAACCCCACTCTGAGTCCCTGCACATGTATTTTTGGTTTAGGAAACTACCTGAAGTGAAAGTCACATGTGAATCTCAGGGGAAAAAAAAAAAAACAAAACAAAACCAAACAAATCAAAACCAAAACCAAAGCAGAATTCCACTTTTCCTCCTCACCTTCCTTCTCCATTTTCTACCTCTAGTTCTAACACTGTCTGGAGGCGCTGGCACAGCAAGGATGTGAACTGAACTGACACACTGCATACACCCAGAGGAGGTATTTCTCCAGCAGATGGTTGAATGGTAAAAGGAGATACCTAGGAGAGAAGAGAGGAAACAGAAATTTCTGTCATGCTTGCAAAGCAAGTGTAAAATGCTGAAGCCACAACAATCTAACTGGGACTTGTGTGTGTAGTTTTTCCTCAGACATGTCCTTTCTCTCTGCCCCTGGAGACCCTCCTGGGCTGATCTCAGTAAGCACAGTGCTAGAACCTGGCTAGACAAGGAGACTTTGCTTCTGTGGGGACAGCTACTAAAAAGGCAATGACCTAAAATAAGGGTAGTCAGAGGCAAGGGTGTAACAGAGGTGCCTGTGCATGGAGTGGGTGGGAATGTGATGGAGAAGCAGCCAGCAGCAGGGTCTTCTCCAGAGCAGCAGCTATGAAGGTGCCACAAGCTGGGGAGGTCCTTTGACAGAAGGTCAAGGAAAGAGGGCTGGAGGAGTGGAAACAGAAAGAGCACCAGTGGGGGCTGGAGAGGTTCACAAAAGGAAAGGTGTAGCTCAGATGCAGAGGGAATGGAGCACTGGATCTATGATCTTCACTGGTTTATGAATGGGTTCTAGGCTGACAGATTCAAGCAATTCTGTCTAAAGTCTTTCTGGGGCTCAGGAAACTGTTGGGAATGGCAGGGGACAAAGGAGTAACAGTGAGAAGTGAGGGCTCAAGGACTGTGAGGACTGTCCTCTCCAGGGCACCCCCATTAGTGCCTAGTCAGGCACTTCTGATAATTGTTCTGGGGCAAAGGGGACACACACAAATCTATTTTGGGTGTCATAGCTACCACTCATAAATATTTTCTTTTTGCCATCAACTTTCACCCAAAGTTAGTGGGATATCTACATGATACACAGAAAACAAAGCTCAAGACCTCATGGGGATACAGTACAACTTCTCACAGGCTTCCATCTCCTGATGGTCAACAGAAACTTGGTGCTTTAACAAGCTCTTCTCTTTGTAACAAAGTGACTGTCCAGAAAAACAGAATGTCTCAACAGTGTTAGACCAATTTTGCCATGAAACAACTGAACTCAATTCCTCACATGGGTAATTATGTAAAGAGCCCTGCAGGCAGCATTTGCACTTTCATTACAACAAAAAGCACTTACCCCAGAATCTGGGTTCCTTACTTCCCTTTAATGCATAATACCAAGCAGAAATCTAGCTCCAAAGCCCACTGTGTGCCACAAATCATCAAAAATATGTATTCTGGCTATTTTTGTGTCTTTATGTATTTAGGAATACGTCCTGCTCTGCAAATAGCAGTTCTCACTCAATTCTTTGCCACCAGTATTACCTCCAAGCTGCTTTAGTTATTTCACACAAAATGGTGGAATGGGCTCTGAAGTCAGAGCCTGGAATGGACTGCATTTAACACATCACTGTCTAGAATAACCAACATAGGGAAGAACCAGCAGAAGAGGGAGCATGGCCAGTGGCAGCAGTGACTTACCTCTTCCCTCCTTTCAGCCAGACAAACCTGGCTTTCTTGCATCCTCCACCGTGCTGGCAGCTGACACAGATTTTTAATCTCAAAGGTTCTTAACACACTCTCACCCTGCTTAGTCAAACCCAACCAGAGTGAGGGAACATCGATGCGAAGAAGTGGACCCTAGGACACCAAGAAACGGATCTCAGCATGGCCACTTCCACCAAAACTGCCTGCTTAAGAAGCATACATCACCTAAGATGAAGTTTTATGGGGAACAGCAGAAAGCAAACGCATTGCCTGCAATGCAAAAAATTCTTACTGTCCTGGGAGTATCAACACTGCCTCAATAGTTACTAGGCAGCAAAAATACCTCCTCTTTGTCACTGCTTTAGGTTTGTCATGCCTCTAAGAGACAAACAGCTTTATATGGACTATGGCCAGGCCCCACAGCTACTCACCCTGCCACACTGACCTGTTTCTTACCTTAAAAGCAGCCTCAACATGCAGCACAACTGGCTCAGGACAGTGTTCAATGTTGCACTGCAGGTCATGGCTGACACACCCAGGTTTGCTTCCAGTAATTGCCAGTTCAAATTCACAGCATTTATTCCTATCTAGAAAAGGAAAAAAAAAAAATCAGGGTCCCGTCTCACCCTTTTGGAAATAAACCACCTGCTGCAAGCCTGTAAATGAAGCTCCTGGAGCCAAATGAAGCCTCCTGCTGGCTCCAGTGGGCTGGGGAGCAGGTCTTATTTTGCAGCTTGCATTACAGTGCTCTGTGACTTTTCTGTTCATGCCATATTCAATATTTCTGTCATTAATTGATGCTTGCAAGTCACAGAAACTTTACCTATGATGCCAGTATGAGGTTCAACTTCCATGATGTCACAGGACACGATTTTCTCCCACGTGTACTTGATCAATGATTTGCTGTTATTCCACATCTAAAACAATTAAAAGCAGTGATACAATTAATGCACTTTTAAGTTTTCATAGCAACAGGATGATGCTCTGTGGAGAGCTACACAGAATGGGTTGGGCTGGGAGGGACATTAAATATCTAGTTCTAACCCCCCTGCAGGGACACTTTCCAGTAGACCAGGTTGCTCAGAGCCCCATCCAGCCTGAACACATCCAGAGAGGGGCATCCACAACTTCTCTGCACAGCCTGTTCCACTGCCTCAACACCCTCACAGTGAAAAACTTCTTCCTAATATCTAATCTAAATGTACCCTCTTTCAGTTTGAAACTGATACCCCTCATTCTGTCTCTGCACTCTCTAACAAAGTGTCCCTCCCCATCTCTCCTGTAGGCCTTCTTTAAGTGCTGGAAGGCCACTGCAAGGTCTCCCCAAAGCCTCCTCTTCTCCAGGCTGAACAACCCCAACTCTCTCAGCCTGTCCTCATAGATGAGGTGCTCCAGCCCCCTGATCATCTTCACAGCCCCCCTTTGGGCTCTCTCCAAAAGGTCCATCTCTTTCTTATGCTGGAGGCCCCACAGCTGGCCTGACCTAATCTAGGAGCCTCTTTACTGAAAATAAAGCCAACTAGAGTGCTGGGGGAAATTCCTCCAAACTATTGTAGCCTGTAGGATGAGATTAATCACCCCCTGGATGCTGCCCATGAGATCTCCAAGGACTACAGGGAAAGCTTAGTGCAGGTAGCTCAGGAGTGAAGATCTGTGCTGAAAGCCCCCTATGCAGCCAGATCACCACAGTTAACACAATAGCTAACTTCAGATGGGTGAAAGTGTTTTCTGAAACTCAAGGAAAATCCATTAACCATTCTTTCCAAGAACAATATCATAGTTGAAGCCTTTTAAACTTTTTCCCCATTTCTCAAAAAAATGTAACAGACCTTCTAAACTTAAACTTCAAATCTTTCTTTTGAGAGCAGACTTTTTTTTTTTGCCAAAGGACCCTTTTGTGAGGGAGATGTAAGCTCTGGAAATCTTTGGCCTGCTCTTCAGTTCTATTTAAGAAATAATATCTGAATAGAACAAATAACATTGTTCTCTGAAGCACAATTATCTCTAAGCACAGCTCAAATTCTTATCTTTTTAAGACTAAAACAATTGGAAACTGGGAGGAATGTTGTTATACTATCAGTAAGTGACTTAATTACCTATACCACACATAGAGCTATACTGGATTGTGGGAAAGTATGAAATGGTTGTCTTCAGTTGAAAAAGAACTTCTAGGAAGAGAAAACATAAAACTAAACCCTGATTAGCAGTATCTTAAGAAAAAATGGGAAGAGCATTAGCTGGGAAATGGCTTCCTGCCTGGCTCTTGCTAACAGGCATATTTTCCCCAAGGAGTCTAAGATGAAAAGGATCCTGATCTCAAATGAAGAGGACACTGAGTGAGTGTACAATTGCAGCAGCAGTCTGCCCAGAATGGTCAGAGATTATCAGAACCTGTAGGAAAGAATAAAGTCTAATAAGCTGTAGCTTGTGTAACTTTTGTGGCTCTTCTGTGCTTAGTGCAGTCCTTGGCATGAACAGTGCCTCTGATATGAAGTAATTTAATCATCCATTGGCTATTCCTCCCAACTGGTCATACTTTTACACTACAGGAGTGACAAAGTGATAAGGATCAGGGTAGTGACCCAGTTAAACATTTGGGAGGGTAAAACTCTGTGCTATCAAATTTAAGAGATGAAAAAAGAACAAAGCCTGCTGCTTGGAGTGTAGGGCTAGAGGATTTCAGAACAGGCCCTCCTGGAGTCATGGCCTCTTCTAAAAATATTTAAGAAAAACTAAAATAACATGGATTGTCTGATATGTTCTAGTAACACCTATGACATCAAGTGACAGAAAGCACGTGATAACAATTAAATTAAATGGAAACAAACCTTAAATGTTTTCCTGACATTTACACCAATAAAGTTTTCTCCAGGGACAATAATGGCATATGGTTCCAGAAGAAGATGATATGGTTCTGTTGATCCTTTGACTTCTATTTCCAGCACTATGACATCTTCTGCTTTGTATTCTGGGATGTTTTGAAGCATCCCCTCTTTTCCTGAGCTTTGAGAGGAAATATGGTAGAATGATTAAGCAGCTTAAACTAGTGTTTAAGCTGGATCCCATAATTTAAATTCCAGATCAAAACTGAAAATCATTGAAAGTTTCTCCAGTACAGACTTGCCATGTGCAGTTAGCTCAGGCTGGGGACAAATCAAAACTGGAGAGATTACAGTAGATCTTTAATGGTCTCTAGTTGTCCCAGTCTGTTCATGAACAAGTATCTGTCATAGACTCCTGTGACAAACAGTAACAACAGGGAAACCTGCTGGAAATGTCAGCAGAAAGCCTGGAAAATGAACAGACAAAATGACAGTATTCTCTTCTCTCAGGAGCCCTAACTAACTAGGGCTGAGGCATGTGTTCAGGCATGAGGGAAGACCACAGAGACACTCTTTGTACCCCAGTTAGTTGTGCAGATGAAATTTTTTATAACTGTCAGTTGTGATGGACCAGAAAGATGAAGAACCCCAGTAAGTTAGTGTGACAGCATAGCTAAAATGTGGCCACACAGCTTACCAGGAAATACTGTTTCTCAGCTTACCAAGGTGATTCTGGGACGTCCCTCAGTACCAGCTGAATCACACTGTGATAACTCTTCAGCTGCACAGATGGAGAAGGAGAGGATTTTAATGTCATCTGTCATGGGGAGGATTAAATAAAGATGAAAAAGCAGTTTACATTTAAAGGATGAATGATCATCATCAGAGTACTAAACTCTGATAAACAGTATTCAGACTCCAGAGTTACTAAAAGCAAATATGTTTTACTGCAAAATACTAAGCCAGATTCTGATCTCATGGTGTATGGTTCCAAGAAAAATACTCATTTTTGACATGCCTGTTATTATTCCCCTAGTATATTGCATACTACACACAAGCATCTGCAGAGGCTCCCCAAATTAAGCTCAGTATTGCTGTACTTAAAGTTTCTTCTAAGTGCCCCAGGGTATTTAGCTTAATTGAGCATCAACCTGACTCTGAGTAAGAAACACTACTTTTCTGTCAAGGGAAAAGAGAATGTCTTCTACATTCTAATGGGAGAAAAAAAAATAGGTAGAAGCAGGCCTTAAATTTGAAGAGCTTTACAAAGAGAGGTATTAATTTAAGTATCTATGTTAATTTAAGAGATTTTTATATTAATCAATTAAAGTATTTTAAAAACCCACCTAGTTTCTCCTCCATACTTATTTTAGATATTCTTCTGTCTGTCAATCACCACAGCAGGGATATTTCCACTCTTAGGCTTACTTTGGGTCAAGTTCCTTTAAATACAGTGAGCTCATGCTCTTTATTTATATGGGCAGGGGAGCAGAACCTGAGACAACAACCACAGGTCCAGCTGCAGTCAAACATGGTTGTACCCCTCTTTACCCCTCAGAGCTACACACCAGCACTTCTCTGCCAAAAGCTACTACTACCCCCTTAACTTACCACATAGCTGTTCACAGATCCCCTCTCAGCCCCAAAAAGCTACAGCTGGGAACAGTTTAAATAACCACTTTGCTACCCAAACTTATTTAGCCTGCAGTAGGTATGGGGCATATCCCTAAAGCAGCTCTCTCAGCAGAAGGGGAAGGGTCAGGAGATGGTGGAGGAGCTGGCAGTGTGGTGAGGGTGCTCACTTGACCAGCCAGCACAGCTGCAGCTATGAGGATGTGTCCATAGCTTAAAAGTAAAATTAACTGTGTCCAGTCAGTACCAAAAATGACGAGATCAGAAATTGTCTCACATTCTGCAGTCAAAACATGTTTTCTTTTAGGAACTTTCTGCACTGTTTATGAGAGCACAGGACCAGCTAATTAGATTTAATTTAGAAAACTGCACAGCAAGGGTTTTACGACTTGCAGACAAATACACAGCTGGAGTTTGTAGATAGGAAGGAGTCACAAGCTGTACCTCCTGGGGAGTGTAAGTGAGAATAAACTCGTGATCCACATGTGGAAGCAAAACTCCCTGCTCAGGATTTAGGGAGAAGGCTGATTCTGTGTCTCGATTGCATTTGAGCTTCATAGAGTCTGCAGTTTCTTCTGGTATTAATGGTTTCACATTAGGCTTCATTATCTGCCAGTAGAAAGGAAGTTCTACATGGCTGCAGAGAGATCAATAAAGAACAAAAAAGCTATGATTAAAAAAGCAGATATTTTGGAGTAAAATATCAGGAGAAAAATTTCAGTTCTTTTTTCTGTCTAGGGAATTCCTCTTTAAACATTACAGGGGTTAGACTTACCAGTCCTTGTGAGAGATGAGGCAACATAGAGTCAGTGTATGTAAATTATACAAGGAACATGTTAATATATGGAAGTAAATTATATAACTGTGTAAGGTATGCACTTTTTTGCCTTATTTAACTTGTCACGTGATACATCTTTTAGGAAACTCTACACTTCTTCTTTCAGCAGATCAACAGGACCACTCCTGCTGCTATTAGTACATTTGCATTGGATCACTGTGATGATCTATGTGACATTCTGCACTTAATCCAAGCCCAGTCTCAGCCTGTGCAGCTTTATTTCATACAAGTCTGACACCAGATGTGCAGGGACTGCTGTCATGACTATAACACAGAGAAAATGGGAACACTGGGGTAGTAACATCCTCCATTGCTTTATAGGAACCAGTTCACTGAATCACACCTTTTTTATCCAAACAGCATTCTGTTCTGGCACTGTGCATGTGTGGTTTCCAGGCCACAAAACAAACTTCTAGAAGTTCCCTTCTAGCAACTTGCATTAATGTATCTAAAACCAGCATGGACCCACTCACTGCTGTGATGATCTGCAGCCTCTAACTACTGCAGTCATGCACATTAGTGTACTTTTTTTATTGCCCAACCAATTTTGAGCAAAATCAGGATGCCACAATGCATGAATGATACATTCAGCACAATGTAACTGTATGTAGGGGCATATTCCTTGACTTCACATAGCATTTATGTTTAAAACTATTAGGAATCGATAGCTGGAATCATGTCAAAGTTTTAATTTGAGTTAGTTACGTTTGAGCTAGTTTCCATTTTAATCAGTGGAAATCCAGTGGAGGCCAGGATGTGTTATGTCTTGTTCTATGAGAGATGTTTACAGTCAGAATTGCATCCTTAGAAGCATCTATTTCCCTGCACTTTGAAAGGAAAGGAGCGTAGGGTGCTGAGCTCAGCTGCACGAGTATACATTGTAGACATGTAAATCAGATAAATCTTACCTGGACAACTCTGTTACATGCATCCTGCAACCATCCAGACTTGTGAATCTTTGGGAACTGCAGATTTATCTGTACTGAAGCAAATACTTTGACCTTGGCAGTCATAAATCAAACACTGTGGCTAATGGTTGCCATAATGTTGGATCTATGTTTCGTGTTCCTGCTCTTAGCAGTGTATCCTTGAGCCTTAATTACTACACAATGGAGCAAAAGCAGCAAGGCTTCTGCACAAACTTTATCACATGCATGCAGGTCTCTCCAGCTCGAGAGAGTGTGGTTTCCCAAATGAGACCCCTACCAGTATGCTTGGACTGCAGAGCATTACTCTATCAGTAGTAGCTACGTACGTAGAGTTTCTTATAAGCAGTTTCTTCTCCTCAGTGGTGTGTGGGTGCTGGGGCTCAAATCCTATCAGATGCTGTGATGTTACACCAGTAACTTCAACAGGGTCAGGTTTGTTTTCTCCATCCGTGATAAACAAAAGCTCCAGAGCTATCAACTGTCCAAGCCCTTGAAGAAATAAGCAGCATGTATTACTGTTTACCATCTAGCTATTAGCATTGCTCACGTTACTCCTTCACAGCAAATGCCAGCATTTACTGATTGTATCTGCTGCTTCCTCAAGTTTCAGAACTGAACATGTTAATTATACATTATTTTCCTGATTTTTTTTGTCTATCAACATATAACAACAGAGATTCTCTCTTCATGAATTTAACACATTAGGATTTCAGGACCACAACCTCAGCTCATATCAGCATCATTTCACTCAAGTGAGCAGGGTATTTGCAGGGGTTGATCATGTGGCTCCCAGATAGTTTGAGCAGTATATTAAAATAAAAATAAGAAGTAAATAAACTATTTTAAAAAATCCCAAAGGAAATACCTGTAATAAAGTGATAAAACAGACCACAAGTCAAGCCTAATGTTATAGTACTCATAATTACATTACAGGACAAGCACTAACATTTACAAGAATTTCAACTGGTTTCATCAGCTAATCCAAAGGTTCCCTCTCTGTCCTGAATACCCTAATCCAAGATGTGCCCCAAATTTGCTTCACACCCAAATGCATTTCTGCCCTGTTTGGGCTGATGTTTTACAGTATGTCATGTTAACCTGACAACAGCTTTTCTTTTCTACTAGTTGGTGATATTCACATGACATTTTACATTTGGATTTTTGGCTACAGTGGGTTAAGAACTCAGTGCTTCCTGGATCCCATGTATTTAATGCACTGGGATGGAGCAGTTAATAATAATAATAATAATTAGCATTTAACACCATCAGGGGACAAAGTATTTGCTTCCAATAGACATAAAATGTTACCATCACTTCAAGCCATCACCCACCACTCACGTTATCTGAATATCTGTTGTGTTATGAATATAATCTCTGAAAGGTGTTAAGAAACAAACCTGTGACTGTAACATCTTTGAGCTGGCAATTGTCATGAACAATGGTGTATGTTTGCTGTGAGACTTCTGGGACAGAAGGGAAAAACACTACCTGAAAGAGAGAAGAGAAATTGTAATGTCTGTAACTGATTTCTCTCCAGGAAGTAAACTTCAATTTGTAAATGTTCACTGAAGGACAGTTCTAGTGATTAGTAATTAAATCTTACATTTGCAAGAAGCAGACTGTGTCACCTTCCCTTCATACAGACCACAACTAAACAGGTGTTTTTTGGGTCACCAAACTGACACGTGTGTCTGGGTGGTCACCTGAGGCCACCCCTGCAGAGTCACTGGAGATGAGGGCAGTCTGCTGGGCTGGTTGTATGAATGGCACCCTCAGAACCATCCTGCTCCAGCCACTGAGCACTGGGAGCAGGGCAGCTGCTCTGTGCCCCTCCCGAGTTCCACCTCCACAAAAATGGTTCAGGGGCCAAAACCTTTGGCTGTGTGATGTGCACCATGGTTCTTCTACCTGTTACCCATTACCACCTGCAAGCACAACCCATGCTAAATCCAGCTCCTCTTTCTCTCCCACATGGGCCTGGCCCTGTGGAAGCAATGCACCTGGGGAGACAGGAAGGAGGAGTACTGCACACCTACTGCAGGATCTCTTCCAGGAGAGAGCACAGCATCAGTGAAGGATTTGTACCTGCTGCTCCACAATGACAGAAATTTTCTCCCAAAATGTGCTTTTTTTTTCAGGGAAGCTCAGTAAGGAAAAGTTTCTTCTACTACATGCCCCAGCTGGAGTGAAGTAAGTCCTCCTGTGCTCTCAGATTCCTCTAACAGGATTCTTTGCATGGGAAAAATCTGACTGGTGTCTGCAAGACTTCGAAGTTGCAATGAAAAACTCTCCAGTAAAACTCATAATTGCAATTCTTCATATTTGCACAAAAGAATTTGAGGGTTTTTGCTCACACAACCCCAAATTTGCAAGGTCAAGTCAAGATCTTAAAAAATTATCTGGCTTGCTAATGTATCTAGTAAAGTACAAACACTTTCTGTAGCAGTTGGTACTAACCTCTACTGTTGTGCTTTGCCCTGGAGCTAGCTCAAAAACAGGAGGCTGGATCCCAAAAGGATCTTGTAGCACAAAGCCAGCAGTGGCAACAGCCTAAGGGGTTAAGAAAAAAAAAAGACAAGAAAGGAAAAAAGGAAAGATTAATAAATTAAATTAATCTGGTTGTTGTTTTTAAAATACAGGATTACCTAAACCAGGGAGTATATTACAAGTGGTTTATCTCTTACTACAATTTGTTTTCACACATCTCAAAAGTATGTGGCTTATGTATAAGGCTTAATTAGAAGAAATGCTCCATGCTTTATAATTACCTTGGTGAAAAGGAAGGAGGGAAGGTGCTGCTGCCAAAGACAAATGGTAGTGTCAGGATACCTGACATTGGTGTTCACAGAACAACTATGCCTGAGCACGGCAGCTCACTCTGTTTCTGCATGCTTACAACTCACTTTGAGTTGGAACTTGAGTGTAGAGTGGAATAAAGCACTTCAGGAGGAACAACCTGGCACATCAGCTGTCCCATTAACCTTTCATCCAGCACCCAAAATGCCAATTGATCAGTCATATCTTATCTTTATCCACTTCACTTAGGCCCTGCCTTGTGATGGAGAACTGAAGACAGCAGTTCTGGAGGGGACTGCTAGGGTCCACAGGAGCTGCAAGTTCAGCCAGTGGTATCTTTGGTGGGGAGGGGGAGGAACCTAGCTCAAGCAATGCTAGCACTGACTGCATTTCTATTTGCTTTAAGGGTGAGGTTAAAATGAAAGCCAGTTGTCTTTTCCCTCATCTGTGCCTGAGTTTAGCTCACCACTGAGCAAGACAACTTCCAGAGGCAAGCCAGAGCACAAGTAGAAGGTGGGGACATCCAGGGAGATTGGCCTTGAGGACAACTGTGAATCCCTGAGGGAATGGCAGAATACAGATATCCACAGCAAGCCCTTATGACTTCTGTGCTAGTATACCCTGACTAGCTCAAAAGGTGCCTTCCTGTCAGGGCACCTATACCATACCCTGTATCTCCCTCCTAATCACTCACCCTGCAATCAGGAGGTGGCCAGGCTTTCTTTGGCATGATACAGAACTTCCTGGTGCTTGTTCCCTCATTTCTGCACAAAACAGTAGTCACCTTTATTCCTCCAACAAGACAGGAACCACAGTCTATAACGTGAGGCACTGCAATGAGGAACACAGAAAATCAGGCTATGCAGAGAGTGAAGGCACCTGGCAAAGCCACCAGCTTCTTCCCTCTGCACAGACAGTGCTGCTGCACAGGACTATGCTCAGTGCTGCAACCCTAACACCCCTCACCTTCTTTCCACTTCAAAATTGAATGGTATGAGGTGCCTATTTCTACATTCATCTTATATTTTCATGGTGCTTCCTACAGAAAGACTCTACTGAACAATAACAAAGATTAAGATGATTTTTTAAAAACAGCTTAGTAAACCAGGAAAAGTGAATTAAAAAAAAAAAAATTGAAATCTACTTAAGTTTTAAAAATTAAATTAAAAAAAAAAACCTTTAAAATTTACTTAAAAAAGAGTGTTTCTGCAAAAGCAATCCTGGTTGTTACAGTTGAGGTTAGATATCTGAGAGGTGAATCCTGCAGGTATATCATATCCATATGTAATTAATGTAACATTCCATGAATATTCCATGAATACCACCAGTAACTAAACCCTAATTCCTTAATATTTAGGATTAGCAATTACAGTTGGGAGTTCAGGAATCAACAAGACACAAAGCTGGAAAAATGGTTCCTGATCAGTCCTCTAACAGGGTGAAATAAACCCAAGCTTGATGTGGCAAGAGCAATTAACTGAGGAAACATTTGTCAGGGTTACATTTGAACAACTAATAAATCTGTTATGAGTGAAAATGAGACTGATACCAAAATATAGAAACTGCACTGCCAAGTTTGCCCATACTTGTTTTGTGACATAAACCTGGAGATAGATAATAATAATAAAAAAAGTCCATTTGACCTTAGAGAAACTTAAGAACTGGACACTACTGACATGTTAGCCCTGGAGGTGGTCTTTTAGCTTGGATTGGGATCAGAAGAGGTTCTGATGTTTGAGTTTCCACTAATATACAATCTTCATAATCTCCTAGATATTCAGGAATAAATTGGACTGTATACTGGCATGTCATCCCAGGAGCAATCATTCCTCCCTTTCCTGGAAATTTTCCTTGGGAAAAAAAAAAAGGCAGGGAATTAAAAAAAATTAAAACCTCCCAAAGTTGGCATATATTTTTATGATCACATCTCCCCCTGGAAAGGTGCAAGTAAACTCTCCTCATTTATTGCCTAAGTCCAGCTGATAAAAATGAATGACCACAAAGGGCCTGCCAGTGAATCTGTCTATGTCTGTATCTTCCACAGAACTCCAGGAACGTTTTGTCTGAAATATGCTTCTTAAAACTACAGGAAACAGAGTAAGGAGACACCTAGAGATGTTACCCAGTTTTCCTCTGCCACAAGACAAGGCTTACATGGAGGCATCTAACTTCTTCTAAATATTCCTCCAGTGCTGTGACTGAGACAGCACAATCTCCTTAAAGTCAATCCCAGTGCCTGGCTATTCTACTCTAGGAAAATCTTTTAACTTTTCTCTAACCTCATCTTCCTTCCTGCAGCTGAAGTAAGTTACTTCTTGCCCTTTCACCCTAATGATTTCAGTGGAAACTACATCTGTTCCTAGATGAATTTTGGGTAAGACTCAGTCTAGGTATTTCATGGATACACTTCAATTTAACATCAAACATTTTAATGTTAGTCAGTTTTCTTGAACTCCTCATTAGAACATTTGAAACTGCTTATGAGATGCTCATGAATGGTCCAAGATACCTAAGTCAACCTTCACTTTCTAAAGAACTGAGCACTAAGGAGAGCAGAACCAAACAGAATGCTTCTGAAAAATGTTGGTCAAGCAGATAAATTAGATCTTCTATGTGTTAACATCTTAAAGACAGTAAAAAGAACACTTACCTGGCCCAATGGCAAATGCTGAAGTAGCAGGGGGAATAAGTCTCATATAATGACTTGTTGAAGTGATGTTCTGCAGCTCTATAGTCATCTTCATTTGAAAAGAAAATCAAATATTCCATTGTATTCATCATCACTCATTATAGTGTTTGCAGTTCCCTAGTACTCTGCTACTAATAACTAATTTATCGCTGCAACCAACCTAAAAATCTCAGTTTATTCAATAAAGGCTGAATCAGATACTACTGAAATGAAGGAGAGACTGAAAAGGGTCCCTTTTAGTTTTCACTGGTTAGTGTGTCAGTGGCACATGTGAAAAAGTACCTTCAAGGAAGAGGAAGGAGCATTAAATTGATATAAAGAAGAAACCCAGATTTTTGTTAAACTGCAGAAAGAAAAAGATTGGGTGAAATATGTAGATAGTGGCAGGACATAATACTTCTCAGTGGTAGAATTATCTCTCTACAAAGAAGAGAAATAATCTCACCTCATAAACTTGGCCAACTTCATAATCAGCAAACAGAACAGTAGGTGGGTTGGCAAGAAACACGGGAACAAACGAGGTATCACTGAAAGACAGAAAAAAAAGGAGACATTATCTTACTTCCTAGTTCATTATGTACTGATAAAATCAGAAATTGCAAAATGTATCCTTTAGCAAACCCAAAATCTCATACAGACATACTTTGTTTCTTAAAAGACTAGACAGATATTTAGCTCAAAATATCTATGTGTAAATGCACAGTAGTTCTGCAGTGGAGCTCTGTGTGCTCCAGCTCAGAATCAAGAAGCTGTCTATACTGCATACCCTTTATTGTCTTCTGCTTTTCTTCTGGCTATGGTTTGTTCCACCTTTTCTTGAGAAATGACAAGAGATTTGCCTCCATGGAGAGCATTTGGTGGGAAGAAGCGAGGGTTCTTTAAGTAGTTCTGCCTTTTCTCCAGTTTGGCAAGGTGAGCACGTTCACTTTCTTCATCTTCTTTGCTTTTACTGTCCTTCCAGGCTGATGTCTGGGAGGCATCAGTTTTCTTTGAAAAACAGAGAGATCACGGTGCAGAATTAAACATGGTGGTTTTGAGGATGATGAAAAAGGTATCTGGACATGCCTAATTAAAGCTATATATCACTGAAAATTCACACAGAAATATTCTATTTCTCTTTTCTTAACAGATCAGATAAAATCAGTACTGGAGGCAAATCCACAAAGCATTGACATTCACCCTTTGTTCCAGGAACAGCAATAGGCCCTACAGTTGTGACAGGCTAAACCAAATACACCTGTAAAATGTACCTTGCTTGGCCTTTTAGTCTGGTGGCTAGAGTCTGGAGTTGAAGGCAGGGTTAATGTGCCTAGAGACACATTTGACAGATTAACAGATATTTTCTGTAGGTTTGCAACCTCCACAGACACCTGGTCCCGTGAGCCTGAAGAAACATGCTGCTTAAAACTAAATGTCTCCTTGACATAGCCAGGTTCTGATTTTCCTGCAATTCAAAGAAAAATTTACTTCTCTAAGAGAACAATGTGGATTATAAGCAAAGGGGTATGGATTTATTTTATTCTTGTTCATGGGAAGAACACACTTTAAATCCTCTAACATTTAATTTACATTTATAACCCATTTTGCACAAATGAAGCTTAGCATTTAATGAGAAAACTTTTAGAAACACTAATTTTAAAAGCTGTATACACAGGTAGTTACATTACTCTCAGAAAGCTATGTTAATCTTACAGGTGAGCAGGGCTTAGAATATTCTGTTCAGTTTACAAAAAGATCTATATGATGGATTCATGACAGAAAATTGACATAACCAAGATGTCCCATCTAGTCCCATGTTCCTATAGTGAGACAACAAAATTGTCACCTCAGAGGAAACTATGAGATGTTAGATTTCTTGCTTTCCTTGGAATTATGATGGGAAAAACAATCCCAAATCTGGAATTTGTGACTAACTGTGAATGCTTGTTTTGACTTGACTGAAAAATTTCATTTTATTGAAGCTAAAACCTTTCACCTTGGCTCACACATGAATAAAAGAAGTAAAGAAGTCATGACATTGCCCAAAAGAATTTTTTTTTTTACTGATCTTCACTTGCAAATCAAACTGATACATTTCCAGAAATGGAAAATTTTAAACTCCAAATGAAGAATACAATTTTATTTCACTTAAAATTTAATACAACCAATTCTTTTCTCTGTATACAAGATGTAGTTGCAGCTTTGTGCTCATGAAATTGAATAGAGGCAGAGCAGTCTCAAGTAATATAGTTTTTGTGTCAGATGGAAAGAACTGTAAACAAATGTGCAGCCAACATTACATTTTATACTTAAGCACATTTAAAATCAGTAATTTTTAATGTATTAATTTCATTCTGATAATGTCTTTTACGTGAAATTTTATGCTTGTAATACTAGAGTCCCTTCTGCTTTGGCAGAAAACAAGAAAAATAGATCTGCTACATCCTGCAGTGCTTCAGTTTTTACAGAGTGTTCTAAAAAGTCTAAACTATTCTCTGCTTTTAAAGTTACCTTTTGGTGCTCTAGTAATAGGTAATTTATCAGGGATGTAATCATCAGGGCAGGTTAAATTATTTTTTCTGAGAAGTTCATTATCCACAATCCACCTAAAAGAGGATGCCACTGCAACAGTAACACAAAAAACCACCACCAATTAAAAAATGCAAAAGCTTAGCACCTTAAGACACACAACCTTGATCTATCCAAAGTAATGTCTTCATAACTCATCACTGTCAGCTAATATTTTTCAATAGAGAAACAGTATTTTAGTCCCAAGACTTGAACCTGCATCTCCACAACTCCAAGTTGAGTTTAAACCCAGCTATTCAGGCATTGGAGAAATAGTTAATCTCTGCTGTTGCTGCCATATATCAAGGCATTTAGGCTTGTACTGAAGTTAGGGGGTAAGCCATTAATTGCAAAGTACCTTGAAAACAACCTGGTTGCTCAGCTTCTTACAGTGTTAAACAGATGTTGTTCTATTTGAAACTCTGCACAGAATCCTTCAGAGTCATTCTGTTGATGTAAACCCAACCCAAAAGCTCACTGAGGAAAGGTTTTCATGAGGAAAAGCTTCTTCATCATGAGGAACAACTTCTTTACCATAAGGGTGACAGAGCCCTGAACAGCCTGCCCAGAGAGGTTGTGGAGTCTCCTTCTCTGGAGACTTTCAAAACATACCTGGACATCATCCTGGGCAATTTTCTCTGGGTGACCCCTGCTGGAGCAGGGCAGTTGGACTAGATGACCTCCAGAGGTCCTTTCCAATCCCCACCACTCTGTGATCCTGTGAGTCTGTGATTCTGTGAGTCTAGTGTCAGTCCCACCAGTGACTTAGACAAACATTGATTGGTCTCCAGATACCAGTATTTCCATAATCCTCACCTGGTGGCAATCCCATTTTGTGGAAATCTTCTCCTGCATTTGCCTTCAGCACATTTAAGGCTCTTTCTTCTTCAGCTTTTGCTCGATTTCTGGCCTGAATGATCTTCTCTTCTACTATGTCAGCTTCTGTCAGTCGTTGCTTATACTCAGCAAGAAGCTGTTATGGGCACAGGTTAATGCACAGAAATGAGTGTCATTTGAGCTCTTAAAATCTTCCTGCAGATAAACATTTCTGTTTGCCTTCGAGAGGTAAATAGAGATAACTTGGCAAAACATCATTACTTTACAAGGCCTGCTAAACCCCCTCATTCCTACCATTTAACTTGGGCTGAGTATGAAGTCAAGAAAATGTGTGAAAGATGAGGAGACCCCCTCAGGACAAGACAAGTGTCTTTTACCTCTGTGGGACAGCAGCTACTGCATGGTATTTTGCTTAGAAGTGCAGGGCTAAATTTGGAGTGAATGTACCCTCCTAGTTACTAGAAGGTTTCTGTAACTCCAAAATATACCAGTAGTGATACTTCCACTCCTCCTGATGTATTTTGGATTATTTCAGTGATGCAAATGCTTCAATGTGCTTTCAAGCACAACTAACAAAGAAAAATCCTGCCTCCAAGAGGTATCAAGAGGCACAGAGGCCAACACCAAGAAAGAATGAAAGACATTGGTCTCAAAAGCCTCTGAGACATCGGTCTCTAACCTAACAGATTTCTGCAGAACTTTCATGTAACAAGGTTGAACCTTTTGGCTCATTTACTAGAATTAAATCATTATGTTTATTTATTTTTTTTTTTAATAGAAATGATAGGATTCATCTCAGCTAAAATGAGATGCTTTCTTCTCTTCTGCTCATTCTGGGATCCCTCCACTGTCACAGGAATCCACGATACAATTCCACCTCATACTGAAGTTGATACTTAAAATGGATCAGATGGATTGTGCACTAAAAGTTCCTTTTATTTTTTTTTCCTGATGACACAGAGAGCCTTGAGTAACTAGTTCAGCTGTAACATGTGTATTACAGACATGTACTCTCAATTGAGACAGATTTTATCCAAGCAGCTCCTTTCAGGAGTAAGTATTCACATTTATTACTCAGAACATACTGTGTCCACCAGTGTATTCATAAATGACACAAAAGAAATACAAAACTTCAGATTTTTCAGCTCTGGTAACCTGTGAGAGGGTATTATGGCACAAAATAAAAAATATATCTGTTGCTCAAATCATCCAGCAATAGTCTCTGCTTTTACACACTGACAATAGGTAGCAGAGCAATGATTAATACAAATATTTTGCATTTCTACTGTTGACTTCATCCAAGATTCCCAAGTAGCACTGCCAATGCTAATGGACAGTGCACCACTAGGGTAAGCATACATAAATAATATTTGCAGCATCTAGTTCAAAATGCAGCACAGGAGAATACTTTATTGCAAGGAAGGAAGTCTAACACACTGACCAGCAGTTAGAGGGAGAAGTTGCCAGCCAGTAGAATGGGCATTTAAAGGGCTACTGTTTTTGCTGGTTTTATTCTGTATCTGAAAAGCCATCCAGAGCTGAGAATATAATGAAGGAGCATGTGGTGAATATTAACTTATATGAAAGGTTCTATGGGAAACTGTGCTCAAGCAAATTGCCATTAAAATGCCAGTTCTAGGATCCCCCTCTGCCTTAGTATTTTATTTTATAGAAAATCCAGAAATTATGAAGTAGCAGTGAAAGCTGAACAGAGCTCCCAACTCTGACTTGGTTTGACGGGTACCTTCTGCAGCTCCTCTGTAAAACTTTCATGATAAACATTGTCTCCTCCTCGGGACTTGATCCAATTTGTCACCATGTCCTCACCGATGACATCTCCAGTGTACAGGTCCTCAAAGGTGCTAGCCAGCAAGTGGGAGATGTCCTGAGGAAAGAACATGAGGATTTTAGTGCTGAAAGCCTGAGATAGGATCAGAAGGGATCCTTGGGCACATGTGAACAGCTGGAATTAGCAAATGGAAGAGGAAAAGTGGGGGGAAAAGGGGTGGGAAAGTAACTGGGAAGGACCCTAAAACGGGACATGCTGCATGTGTGTATCAGAGGTGTATGTGCCAGTACGTGGGGGGTGTGTGTGTGTGTGTGTAAGAAAGGCTGTGCACACACAGCTGGTGTGTCTGTGCTGGCTGGCTGTAAGTGTAGGTGGTGGACGTGGCTTTCTGTGTGCCCCCAACCCAGTGTGTGCCTGTGTCCTGGTTTACACAGGGGTGGGTTCGTATGGGGCTGTGTGAGTGGAGGGGTGTGTGTGGATACCATGCCTTGTACAGGCCCTGGGGTTTCACCCCAGCTGGCAGCTCAGCCCCACGCAGCCACTGCCTCGCTCCACACCAGCGGGACTGGGGAGAGAACTGGAAGGGTAAAGGTGAGAAAACTCGTGGGTTGAAATAAAGACATTTGAATAGGGAGAGTAAAAGCCACACACACAAGCAAGGCAAACCAAGGAATCCATTCCCCACTTCCCATCGGCGTTTGTGTCTGTGTGAGGCTGTTTGCAGAGGTGGGTGTGTGTGAGGCTGTCTGCAAGGGGGTGTGGGGGTGTTTGAGGCTGCTTGTAGCGTGTGTGTGTGTGCGTGAGGCTGTTTGCAGGGTGTGGGTGTGTGGCTGTGCAGGGGTGTCTCCTCGCAGGGGGTGCCTGTGCCCGTGCCGCCCAGCCCGCCGCGTTACCTGCGTGCCGGGGCA